CCGACCTTCGAATCTCTTCACCCAACACTTTCACTCGAAATGGAAGTAAGCAAAACAATTATGAAACAAGAACTACCTCGAAACCCAACTTTTCTTCGTATACATAAAACCTATTCAACCTATTTCATTTAGGACGATGAAGGACTCATAGTAGATTTTTTCCACAATGATATGTGTAGAGCTGACATTTTCAATGACTTTTACATAGCCTTGCTTTCCCAAAAGATGTTATTTTTTTTGGAAACAAGGCTATGTGAAATTCACTTAAAATGTCAGTCCTGCTCATGTCTCTTCTTCTACCAGTCCTACATCACCTTAAACGAAATTGGGTGAATACATCTCATATTACTGATTTACTGCTAGTCTCGAAAGTGTTCATGTCTGTTGGTTTATGATGTCCAATATTTTTTGGATTATTATCAACTGCATTTTCCCTTTTGCCTCTTCAGGGAACTTGTTGGGTAATGTCTTCTTAAAGTACCTTCTCGAAGGTTTCTGTCATTTTGTAGAAAAAAGCGTACTCCCTTTTTGAGCATCGTAATGGTTTCTGAGTCAACGGATTGACGCCGTTTGTCTCTCTGACTAGTTGTAACTCGGTGCGGAGGATGGCAGCACTCACTGATGATGCTGACTGCGATGCCGGCGAAACGTCTGCGAATGTACCAAGTCCACAGTCCGACTCTGGAAATGATCATGCATGCTGCGTTCTGCGGACAGGATTCGTTCCTCTACGGCGTCCTGCCAATAGGATCAGGTTGCGAAAACCAGTTACGAAACAACTTCTAGGCTCAGTGGGGTTTAATGGCATCGTGAGGCTTATCCAACTCTCAAGTTACCTCAAGCCCCCAAGGTCGCCTGATTGGGTTCTTAGTCAAGGCAACCCGAATAAACATTCCACTTTGGTCTGTAGGTGTGCAAGGCGGGTGCTCAACGGGACTGAAGCAAAATGACTCTACAGGCCTTCTTCACCTGAGGCCTCGGTCAGACAGATGCCCTCTGCTGGACAGATCTACAGACGTCTTGTCTGTTGCCGTGTCGTTATGGCAGACCCGACGGCTGGGCCCATTCGCACCAAATCCAGGAGACCTCGACGACAAGATGCCCAATCAAACGGCCAGCAGACGGAGGACCAGCTCGCCCAAGGCTTCGGCATGTCCGGTCAGGAGAGGTCGTCATGGCACCGGTTCACACGAAGCGAACACGACATGGCGGACTTGCGACCGGTATTCTGCATGACCTCACATGTCGCTTCGGTGTCGGCCATTGCAGCTCTGTCCTGGCCACACTCGGCACACTCGAGAGGCCAGTAATTGCTAGCCCCCCAACGCCTCGTGTGTACCGGTCGTTCTAGCAACGTTGGTGTGCTTTTTTTTTCTTTTTTTAGCCCAATCTGCCTCTTTATTTATGATCTGATAAGAAAAAGGTCTATTCGCTGAATATCACATACAGCCGGCTGAGTTTTTCCACGATGTGCGAACTG